GGATTTTGCAAATGTGATTTTGTTAATGATCTTGAGTATGCATACTATAATCACAAAGGCCCTTGAAGGAGGGGGGCTGCAGGGTCAAAGGCAGAGAGGAAGGTGGTGTGATGCAGGGGCATGAGCCAAGGGATGAGGGCAGCACCCACAAAGTGGGAAAAGCCAGGAAACAGAGTCTTCCCTGGAGCCTCCAGAACGCCTGTCAACATCTTGAGACTGACTTTGGGCTTTTCACCTCCAAAACTATAAAATAAGTTTTGTTGTTTTAAGCGTGTGATAATTTATAACAGATGCACTAGAAAACTAATCATGGGAGCTCTCTTATCTAAAGGGAACTGGACTCTTCCCACAGGAGCCAGCCAGCCCAGTCTCCTTGTCTTCTGTCACGTTTCTCTAGTTGTTGAAAATCCCCTTCCCCTCCATCTATTTAATCCATTTCTGCCCACTTCTTCCAGGAAGTCTTCTCTGATCATCCTAGCTCACACTGTTCTCTCTGTCCTGTCTCTACAGCACTTGATGTTCTGTACCTTCTTACTCAGCACTAACTAATAACAGTGCTAATGTGCTGGCGGGCAGCCCAGTGACATTTTTATGAGTGTGAGTCATCGGATCTGAGGACATCAGGCCCTAGAGGCCCCTAGAGAGTCTATCCCTTCATCTTTTGGATGATGAAACTGAGTCCCAGGGAAGGGAAGAAAGCCACTTATCCAAGGTCACGTATTCGAGGCTTAAAGACAGGCCTTCTGACTTCAAATGCATAAGCTCTTTCATTTAGCAAGTGCTCATCAAGCCCTCATTATGGGCCCAGCACTGAGTTAGGTGCTGGGAAATCACTAATGATCATAAGCGGACCAGGTCTCTGCTCTCACAGTGGCCTCCGATTTGTAAGACAGGTCAACATTTATACAATAATCAAGCATGTATAATTACTCGCCATGATAGGTGTTCGGAAAGAAAGTTTCATAATGCAGGTGGTAGGAGTGCAAAACATAGGGAACAATTTTAAGCAGGAAAATCAGGAAAGGCTTCATTGAGCAGAGAGGTGAGAAATGGAGAGTTGAGTCCACTAGATCTTTACGGGGGTAGAGGAGAGAAGAAACGTATTTTAGGCTGAAGGAATGATGTGTACAAAATCCCAGGAGCAGGAGGGAGCAGTAGAAGAGGTCGGGGGAGAAACCCAGGGTGCCTGGAGAGTCAAATGGACAGAGAGAGAGGTAACGATGAGGCACAGAAGTCCACAGAGGTCAGACCACTGGGCCAGGAGGCAGTAGTGAACGTTTGATTTTAATTCCACTGGCCAGGGGAGGCCCCAGGAAGGTTTTAAGCAGGGCAATGACATGTTCTTATCTGAATTTTATGGTGTTCTCCCCTCAGCCAGGGCCTTCTCTTATCTCTATAGACACGTTAGAGATCATTGTTATAGGGAGTTTTATGCCGCTCTGTAGTCCACTTCATGTCTAACCTTGTGCAAGGCAGGTGCTCCATGAATATGTGTTGATTAACCTCTCAGCAGCATGTGATGCTGTTGATCATTTCCTTCCTCTTGAAGCCCAGGTTTTCGGCCTCTCTCCATCCTCTGACCACTCTGCCTGTCCCCCTACCACCGCCATATTTAAGCACTGTTTCATCTTCATCTTCTTTTTTCTTTGTCTATACTCTCCCCTTTGGTCATCCTCTTGCCTCCAACAAAACTGAACTCATCCTTCTGGGCAGGACGTAAGTTCCATGAGAACTGGAACTTTGTCTGGTTACTGTTGCACCCCCAGAGCGTGGCACACAGCAGGCACCCAATAAATTATTTGATGGAAATATATACTATATGATTGTTTATATGAAGCTCAAGAACACACACAATCAATCTGTGATCAATGTCAGAATAATGGTTGTGGGGAAATAATGACTGGGAAAGAACACAAGAAAACCTGTGGAGGGCTGGAAATCTTGATCTTGGTAGTGATAATACAGGTGTCTGCATTTGTAAAAGTTCATTGATCTGGAAGCTTATGATTAAGTTCTTTACTATATGTGTGGGATATCTCAATAGGAAGATAAAAAATAATGCAGTATCACCACTCTCCTGCAAGGGAATTCCTAATTTCTTACTGCTTTATGTGTCCACCTAGATGCTCACCTCATGGTCTTATCCTACCTCCCAAATCAGCTCTTCTCCTGACTTTCTGTTCCCAGTGTTTTTACCACTATGCTCCCAATTATTCAGTTTCCACACCTCAGAGCCATCTTACCCATATGCCACCTCTTCTTCCCTTCTGCCTCAGCCAGCTTTCCAAGACATATAAACATATGTGGTCCTGTGGTTATACAAGACTTTAACCCCCTGCTATTACTCCTTAAATTATGTTAGATAGCAAAACAAAAAGTATGGCAGGATGGGAGTAGGAAATCTAATCTAGTCACAGAGATCTTTAAAAGCAGGGTCACCCTCATGAAGTTTGGCTCAGTGGATAGAGCATTGACTGAAGGATCTTGGGTTTGATTCTGGTCAAGGGCACATGCCCAAGTTGTGGGCTCAATCCCCAGTAGGGGATGTGCAGAAGGCAGATTCTCTCTCATCATGGATGTAGCTCTCTCTCTCTCTCTCTCTCTCTCTCTCTCTCTCTCTCTCTCTCTCTCCCTCTCTCTTCCTCTCTGAAATCAATAAAAATATATTCTTTTAAATAAAAGCAAGGGCCAAAACCAGTTTGGCTCAGTGGATAGAGTATTGGCCTACAGACTGAAGGGTCTCAGGTTTGATTCAGGTCAAGGGCATGTACCTTGGTTGCAGGTACATCCCCAGTGGGGGGGGGGGGGTGCAAGAGAAAGCTGGTCGATGTTTCTCTCTCATCGATGTTTCTAACTCTCTATCTCTCTCTCTCTTCCTCTCTGTAAGAAATCAATAAAATATATTTAAAAAAATAAAAGTAAAAGCAAGGTCTTCTCTGGCTGCTAGCAGAAGAGGAAGCCAGAGATATTCAGACAGAATACTGCATTGTTGGCTTTGAAGATGGAGGGTTCACATGCAAGGACAATAACTGGTTGTAAGAGACTGAGAGTGAGGCCCAGATAACAGCCAATGAGGAAATAGGGACATAACTTCTACAACTGCAGGGAACTGAATTCTGCCAAGATGAATTTGAAAGGTGATCTTCCCCAGTGAATTAAAATAAGTGTTGTTTGAAGCCACTAAGTTTGTGGTAAATTGTTACAGCAGTTGCTGAAACTGGCCTGCCAATCTCTCCAGCCCCCTCCCCCTGCTCTCTGCACTTGACCCCCTTACTCCTCAGGCTCCCTCCTGCGACTGGGCCATCCATTTAGTGTTCCTTCTCCTGGAACAGTCTTTCTTTTCCTATTTGCCTGAGTAACATCTATTGTCCTTCCAATTCTGATCTTAGTGAAGACTTCCTCCAGGAAGCCTTCTCTGATCTCCCTGACTAGGCCAAACTACTCAATTAGAGGCTCTTGAAGGCCCCTCTCCAGACCTCCTAGAAGTAACATATCTCTTATTTAATTGCCATGAGCTCCATCAGGACTGGGGCTGTTTCTGATCATCATCATTTCCCCAGGACATAGCACAGTCCCTGGTCCAGAATTTGTGCTCAATAAACGTCTGTTAAAGGGATGAATGAATGGAAGGAGTGCAAGGACTCTGCTTTAGCCAAACTGATTGCTTTTCCCACAGATACTTTCTTGTCTCCACCCTTTGTTGACTCATATCCCTCCATGTGATATGCTCTTTTGCCAACTCTGTTCTTCTGTAAATTCAACCCACTCCTGGTAGTCTCAACCAAGTAATATTGACCAATATTTTGGCTTTCAGTGACTTCTACCTCCATCCTTCCCCTCGCTCCGACCAAGAGTATCTGTAGTTTGTATTATTTCTTTCTGATTATGAAAATAATGCATGCACATTGTAGAAATTTTATTGTATATAACACTGATAATGCAAACTATAAAAGAAAAAAGAGAAACATTTCAAATATCACTTCCCAATGATCATTGCTGATTTTACTATATCATATGGGGTAAAAGTAGATTTATAGTCGTTCACATGGAAAATAATACAATAATTAATAAATAATCATACAATAATAAACTCTTTTTTGTGTACCCACAACTATAAACCTACTTATGTCCCACCCATATATCTACCCATTTTTCCATACATAAGCATGGAAAATTTTTAAACCTTACAACAAATTAATGAGGTTTATATTGTTCTCAAATTACAAAAAAAATTAAAGTTTTAGATAAATTCAATAACTTGCTCAAGGTCACCTAGAACTAGTAAAGAACTCCGAATTAGAACAGAGCCAGACTGGGACCTAAGATTCCAGCCTCATTGACTCAGTACCTGGCTCTCTTTGCTGTGCTCACTGTCCCTCCCGGCCCTTCTCCCTTTCCATCGCTTACTCTCTTACATCCCTGCTCTCTCTCTTCAAGCCCAAAGCCCAAACTCCCTCTGACACATTCCCTTTAACCTAATCATTCCACTTCACTTTGACATTTTTTCTAGTAATAGACCACTTTCAACCTAAATGTCCATCAATCTGGTTTAATAAGTAGCAATACATACTCACAATAAAATATTGCACTGTAAGCCAATCAATGATTCTCTCTCATCATTGATGTTTCTATCTCACTCTCACTCTCCCTTCCTCTCTGAAATTATATATATATATATATATATATATATATATATATATATATATATATATATTACTACATTGTAAGAATAAGGGATGTATTTATGCATTACTCTGGAATAATCTCTAAAGTAATTTGTTAAATAAAAAATGTGTATAGTTTGCTTTCATTTGTGAACATAGAGAATATTTCTATATGTGTGTACAATATTTCTATACACAAAAATGACACCAGTATTTGCTTCTGGAAAGGAGAATATAGAGATTGAAAGTGAAGGGGGAGAAGGGGCTTAATTTTCACTGTATACCCATGTATAATGTTTAAATTTTTGTCATATCCATACATTTAATAAGTTTAAAAAAAAAAAGCAAAAAATTCCAAGTTTTCTCTGACCATCCCACTGAGCTCATCTTTACTTCATGAATGTGAAAGTCTTGGTACATGGGTGAGCCCTGCTCCCTCTTTCTATTACTATAGCCTCCCAAGTGAACTCACATATCAACCATTTTCAGAGACGGAAGACTTAGTCTTCACCAGACAAGTAGGATCCTGCAGTCACTTGAAGTTCAAGGAAAAGGCTTTTGTTCTAGCCCCAGCTCTGCCATCTGCTGGTTGTGTAACCTTGGAAAAGTCAAGACACCTCTCTGACGGTAGATTCAGTCTCCTCCATCAGGTAGGTAAAGAGTTCTCCATCAGCCTCCTAACTTCAAATGGTCTGTCCCCTCTGCCTAGAAATGGGAATCATCCCCCCTTTCCTCTCTCAGTAGCTCCTATCCATCCTCTAGACTCAGCTTCATGCCACTCCTGAAGGAGGACTTCCCTAATCTCTTAGTTGAGGTCCTGTCCCCGTGCTGTGGCTTCTCCATCACAGGCTGGTAACACTTGGTGGGCGTGACTTGTTCAGTGTTTGCCTCCCCGGTTAGACTACAAGCGCGATGAGGACAGGAACTGTACTGTGCTTATTATACCTGGCACATGGTTCCGGCTCAGTAAATATTTGCTCTGAGAATAAGTGATCCATATCACACTCGTCCAGACCCTCTCTTCAGTTCCCACTTTCTTATTTTATTGACTTTTAGAGAGGGGAAGAAATATCAATTTGCTGCTCCACTACCTAAGCATTCATTGGTTGACTCCTTCATGCACCCCTACCAGACCTAACCACAACTAGGACTGCACTCCAACCAACGGAGCCACCGGGCCAGGGCAGATCCTACATATTAATAGACTTTAGCGGCTGGTTCCCCCTGGCCACTCACGAAAGAAGCGTGTCACTGGGAATGGTGCCTCTCCAGTCCTGTTCTCCCCCTAAAGTCTCTCCGCCGGCCTGAGGCATCAGAGCCTGTGATCTTCCTCACCATCACATCCACAGTCTCCAGAACAAACTCCTGCAGGTTCCAGTCCCATCTAGGTCTCTCACTCAGGGCAGGGCCCCACCCAGGCCAAGGCCAGGCCCCAGACCCATTCCCTGCCCCCAGCCCAGCCTGAGAACATGGTGGCCCAGCCCAGCCTGGCAGGCTGGGCCCATCAATCGTGCTCCCAGGGGTACGAACCAATTTCTCTTGCTTTCCTGAGCCTGTCTCCCTGGCGGAGCCTGGAGGAGCCTTCAATCGCATTAATCCCAGGCTGGCGGCGGTGACGAAGACGGATTTCTCCACCAAACGATCCATTTGTATCTCTCGTGCACTCACTTGGTTTTTTTCTGTGCGGATGTTCAAAATATCATGAAAAAGGCGTTAGTCGGGTAGCTGTGGCGCAGCGAAATAATAGAGTGATCCGGCAATGCGCTCCTGACCTTGCAGGACAGCTAATCCATCCGCACATCTATCTTAATTATTCCCGGTTACAAAAGAGAAACTCCACCATTCATTCATTCCAGACTGGCAATTCCATTTTCCACCCCCACTCACGCCCCATCCTTTCTCCACCATTCCCCTGGCCAGATAGGCCCATTCACCAGTGCTCAACAGCCTCCCCTCGGCACCCCAGTCTCCCCACTTCTGAGCCCACCCGAAGGCAATCCAGGACCTAGCCCACTGATTCTGGAGATCAAAAGAGAGGCACACTAGCTCCTTTCCCCACAAATCTGACCAATCCACCGGAGGAAAACTAGCTACCAACTCAATGAAGATTCAGCAGACACACACACACACATACACACACACACACACGCAGCCATAGACTCATCCATTCTCTGACATCAGACCTCCTCTCATACAGATATTAGTAGACAGACCCAATCCAAAGCAGACCATTTTAACTCTCCTGCTGCCTGGGCACAGATGTTGGGACAGATGCTAGGATGGGCATTTTAACTAAGAGTGGGTGTCATGGGGTGCCATGGGAATGTCTTGGTCTGCCTGTCTCCCATCCCCAAAGCCAAAGACCCCACCCACTGTATCTTCTCGGGCTTCCTCATTACACAAGTAAGAGCCGGAGGAGCAAGGTGGAGTGTGGGAGAGGAAGAGAGTAAAAGAGGGGGAGAAGTGAGAGGAAAAGAAGGAAAGGGAGGATGGAGGTGGTGTGGCAAGAAGGTCGTGGACATGGCACGTGAACGTGTCTGTCTGTGTAACACAATTTGAGCTAATTGTATCAGATCCACTTAGGGGATGCCTGTGCCAGTCTCTAAAGCCCTTTCTAATTCTGCCCTTAATGCACAATTTTTCAGATCCCTCATTCTAATGATTTTAATGCAATCAGCAAAACTAGGCATGTAATTGTCTTGGCTCTGTGCTTGGCCATGGTGGCTCCTGGGAACCCTGGCTCCCAGCTCCCATGCTTCCTCCACCAATCCTTCCCTCTCTCCGTGTTTACCTCTCCATTCAGCCTCTGTCAACTAGTACAGAGTGAGACCTGTCCAGCTCCAGGGGCTGTGGGAGAAAAAGGAGGAGTTTCAGTCCCAAATCTGAGTGAGGGAAGGACACAGTGTGTCTGTCTGGACCAGAACTGGGCAGTAGGGACTGTCTGCTGGCCCAGCCCTGGGTTTAGAGCTCAGTGGCTACCCCCCCCCCCCCTTTCCCAGAGCAGCCTGGGCTGGGCCTGTGGGGCAGTGTGCAGGGGAAGGGCCATTTGTCCTGAGACAATGGGAGAAAAGGGGTCTCAGAGCGGCTGTTGAGAGTCAATTTGTAGTGGTGACGGCTGAGGTTGCTCCAAAGGCTGGGAACAGCTGGAGCTCAGGGTGACTGATGGGTGGGCCCAGGAGAGGGGCCATCGGTCTGGCAGACACAAAGGCCCCGATGGTGCGCGGGTGGGGCCTGTCAAAATCATTAATTGCCCGAGATGGGAGCCCCTGACTTCAGATGGGACCAGTGGGCAGGGGGAAGAGGTCAGGGGCCTACCCCTCCCTCCCTGCAGCCCCTCGTAGGCAACTCAACTACCCACACACACACACCCCTTATTTACATAGACACCCACCCCCAGCCTTCCAGGGCCCTGGCCTCACCCCATTGAGACTCCAGGTTCCCTTCCTGATTGAGCAGCTCTGGCTGGTTGTGGGGGGGGGGGGGGGGGGAGAGGGGCAATCCTGGCCTCCTTCACGTCTCGGGGAACAGAACAGCCTCTATTCAGGACCAGGAAAGAGCGCCCCTCCATGTCCAAGGGGAGACACGGAGGCCCGCGGTGATTTCTCCCGCTTCTTGCCCTAGACATTCCCCCCCAGCGGAGCGGAAGGGCAGTGTCACCAGGAGAAACCCGCCCCCTCCCCAGCTCCAGCGCCTCCCCCGCCCCGCAGGTCCCCGGGCGGGCGCGGGAGGCAGTGACCCGGCCAGGTGGTGATGATGCGGCCGGCCGCCTTGGTCACTCTTGGCCGCTCCCCGCGCGCAGCCCGACCCCCTTGCACGGGTCACGGCGCCGGCAGAACTCCCTGACACAGAAACGCCCGGGGCCGCGCGTGCCGGGACGGCCCTCCGCCTGATGGGAAGCGACAGCTCCGCTCCGCCCCCTCCGCTCCGGGCCCTCCCGCTGCTCCTCCCCTGCTCCGGCTCACAGGCCCCAGGCAGGCCCAGCCCAGGATGAGCCCTGGCCCTCTCCACCCAACAAGTCGCTGCCAAGCCCTCCAGTGTGTCCCCAGACTGGAGAGGGAAGGAGGAGGAGCTGAGTGGAGGGGGAGTGGGGACAGTGGGACACCCGGCGAGGCACAGGGCAGCTGTCAGTGATGGCCGGGGAAAGCAGACAGCAGCCAAATGGTTTGTCTTCAGGGCACTGCTTCCGTTTTCCCCACGTTCCCCTAGAAAAAAGACTGGAAAGGAACGCACCAGCGAACCCTGGGAGCTCTCCTGGGTGTGAATTCATTCATACGTGGTTTTCCTTTCTTCGTGTTGCTTATCTGTGTCTCCTGGGCTTTTGTTTGTATGTTTAGGGGATTGTGTGTGTGGTGTGTGTGTGTGTGTGTGTGTGTGTGTGTGTGTGTTTGCATGTTTGTTTGTTAAACATATCTTGTGTGATTTCCCCCCAAAGTTTTAAAAAGCCAATCCGGGAACAGGGGCTGCGATTGGAAACTCCCACCCAGACTCTAGGGCCCCTGACACAGGGAGCAAGGCTAGTGCACTGTGGATGCGCTGAGGTGTCAGATCAGGCTGAGGAATGACCCCTCACCTCCAGGGGCCCTGTTCCTCCTCCCACTTCACCACCAGAGGTAAAGCATGTGTGTGGGGGGGGGGGGGAGGAAGCGGGGGCGCATGGGGGCTGGCCTTAGGAGAAAGGCCCAGATGTACAAAAGCAGTCTCTCACCATTTCCTCACACATGGACCCTCACACACTCTGGGGCATGCTGCCACACGGACACACATCCACATGCGTTCACACATGTACTGACACACCTATAAGCCTATCCTTATAGACATGACCACACGACCAGGAACATACTCATTCACAACCACAGGCTCCTACAAGCACTGGTGGCCGTCCTGTTCCCACAAACTCAGCATGACCTTCTCAGCCCCGGACAAACACTAGTCATGGGCTCCTGCTCTCAACCTTCCGCCAGCCCACACCCATCAGGGAGCGAATGCCTCATTCACCTCAAATGCCCTCATCCATCCTTCTGCAGCTGCTTTTCTGCTCTCCTCCACGTAACCTCCTCCTGGCTATCAGCCTCTCCTATCCCTCGCCCCAAGGCTCCTACTCCACTTCTTAGCTGTGAGAAATGAGGGGAAATTTGCATGCTCTACCACCTGACTTCAGTCCCAGGTTTGGTATGGAAAAGAGGCCTGAAAGAGAAAATGATACCGAAATTGGTTTGGCTCAGTGGGTAGAGTGTCTGCCTGCGGACTGAAGGGTCCCAGGTTCGATTCCGGCATGTACCTTGGTTGTGGGCACATTCCCCAGAGGGAGGTGTGCAAGAGACAGATGATAGATGATTCTACCTTTTTATCTCTCTCCCTTTCTCTCTGTAAAAAATCAATAAAATATTTTTTAAAAGAGAGAAAATGAGGGATCCCCTATGAAGCCCCCAATAAGAGGCTGATGTGGGATCCCTGTGGGCCCCCAAGGCTGTGTCTGGGCCCTTCCTGTCTCCCACCAACAGACTGCTGACTGTGCCCAGAGTCTTTCTCTTCCTCTGCCCTCTCACTCCTGCCCATCCTGGGTGGCCTAGCCTGGGGTCCGGATTCTCCAGGAAGCTCCCCCTCCTGGAGCTGCCAGCCCAAGGCCAGGCTGTCCACTGGCAATCTTATCCCCTGATTGTACCCCTCACTGAAGGGATATTCCTTCACTTTTGATTCTCACCCTGGTTGTGAACCCTGTGAGCGCCTAAAAGCAGGGGCAGATTCAATGCACCATGCATTCCCCACCCCTATCGGCCTGGCATTCCCTCGGCTGGCTCCTTGAGGAATGAGCTGGGGAATGTGAGTATGGCTTGTGTCTTCCCTGGTGAGTGTGACCTGGGTGAGTGACGAGGAGGTGGGAGTAGAAGCAGCCACAGGGTGTAAGTGCCCATGGCCTGTTTCCTCTGTGAAAGTACTAACAACCCATCCATTCCTCCCAACTACCCTGAGTGGGAGGTGGCCATTTTGTACAGAAACAGAGGCTCACAGAGGTGACATTATTTCTCTAAGGTCACAAGGCTGGGAGTGACAGAGCTTGCCAGACTGCCAGTCTCTAGGGCCGGGGACACTAACGGCTTCTGCCTCCCTGGTCATGGCCCAGGATGGTGTGGTGGGGAGGAGCTGCTTTCTGATAACCATGCTGCCCCACCCCCACCTCTCCAGGGCGAGGGAGTTTCCGGTCCCCTCTTCGAATGGGCCCAACGTCTGTTGCCTTCTTCTCAGCTCCTTCCTCTGGCTCTAATTCCCCTTTATGCCTTCTCTGCTATCTCATCTGCACAAGAGCACCATCACCTGTGTTCCTTTGGTCGTAAAAACATTTCCACGAACAAGAAAACAGGGGCTACTGCCTTGGCTTCGTCACTGACCAGCTGGTGGCTATGAGCAAATCACTAGTCACCCATCTTCTCTGGCCATGGTTTCCCCAAGTGCCCCCAATCTGGCCTCCAACCCCTGGTGAGAGGAGGGCAATCGCCAGCACCTTGCCCAGCCCAGCCCAGCCCCAGGCCTCCCAAGAGGGGTCTGGGCTCCAAGAGGGCTGGGAAATGCTGCGAATTAATTACCATCAGACCTCCGGCCGCTGTTCATCTCAGTAAACAAACATTTTAATACGCAGTAATTAATTACATCTGCCACACCGACCCTCCTCTCGTTCATCCTTCTTCAGCTTTTCTTCTGTTCACCCTGAACCAACCTCCTCCTCCCAGTTGGAACCTGAGAACCCAGGCAGGGCCCCTTCCGGCCACTTCCCCAGCCTTCTGCCCCTCCCCCCCCCACCACCCACCGGGTGCAGGTGCTCACATCTGCCACACTATT